GTGTTGGTTACAGGAAATCTTGGCATTCATCGGCTTGGAGGGGGCATTTGGCTGGTTCACATCGATCACTGCTGATGCCCTCTGTGGACACTTGTGCATTCCTGTAAAGCTAGCTGCAATAGCATGAGCTTCCTTTACACTCGATAAGAGTCTACAAGACTCACCGTGGTAACACGTGTAGGAATAAGCAAAAGAAACCCGTGAAATGCCCCCCCCCTAAGCCGAAAAGCGCTGAATTCTCTGATACTCACCAATAATTGGATTATCATATGTTTGTTCGAAGGCTCGTCTATGTGTGGCGTCATTGTAAAGTGAATCGTTGTTGTAATTCAATCGTGATGTAGGAAAAGATTCAGGTCTGTTCGGAAGGACGAGAGTTTGTAATGCGTAAGCAGGAAGGTGGTCAATGGGGCCGTTTAAGCAGCTCAACAACGTCGATAAGATCTGGTAATTACACCACGCCACGTAACTATGGCTCGAGGTAAGCGTTCGTGTAGACTTTCACACCTCAATTTTCTCTTTTGTGTGCGTGAATAGCCAGCTTTATGTACAGTCTGAGTTCCTATCGATATTCGGCCTCTTCATATACACCGTCGTCGCGTCCTCCTCCGGCGCCATCTACGACTGCTTCAGATGCTACTAGAGGTGAGTCCATTCTTCGTCGGATATTACAATAGATCTGCAGCAACTGCAGCCAGGCAGCTGTCCACTTAAAATTACATGCCGCAGTCTTGATGATTAGTTACTGCGCTGATTGACCAAGAAAAAGCAAATCTATGCTACTTGAGAATTGGAACTGGTCGGCTTTTATTGATTACCTCGGGGAGCTCATCAGGTAGAGTCAGTGTGATTAGTATGAACAAATAGGGTTAGAGCGGTCCAGGAGACGGACCAGGAAGGGCTAAGATGACTTCTTTTTGAATTCAAAGGTCCACAAAGTGGAGAACCTCTATGGTGTGAATTTGACCAAAAATCTTAGACAATGAGAAGTCGAGCCAAATTGATCAGGTCCGCTGCGGGTGATGGGCGTGTCAGTGCAACTGCGTTCGGCGCAGTGCCAAACTCGTTTTCACCAGTTATCGAAGAGGACAAACGACGAGGCAACCGACAGAAAATTGTGGAGCGAACTAATAGCGAACAGTAGATGGCCATTGTTGCGCCTGCATCGCTTCAGACAATTGGTGGAAAAGGTTTGGCACCTCGCGCCAACACTGAGACGCCTATACTCGCAGGAGCAAGAATATCCTGATTTGGAAACGCAAAACATCATCCCTCGCGGCAGTCATAAAACAGCAGCCGAGCGGTTTGCTGAATATGGCGCAAAATGGTTTGCGACTTAGGGAGAGGAATCGATACCCTGCACCTCCCGCTTACGCGAGCTGTTCGCTCTACCATTATCTACGGCCGGCACTCGTACGCTTTGCAGGTTCAGTTGCCTTTTGCGGGCCAATTGGCCTCACGGTCACGGTGCTAACGTGATGAGCCGGGTAGAAGATGTCAGCAAGAACCGCGAGGCTGCGGGCTTTTACGTGTTTTGAAGCTGTTTCAGTGTGATAACTGCTGTTTAACGCTGCAGTGCGCGCTACGAAAGTTATATAAAAAGCGCTAAACAGCGGTTATCAAACTGAAACAACTTGAGCTCGAGAGTCAGAGGGCCTGAGGTATGTGAGCGTCTTGTGAAGGATGAGGATGTGTGAGGAAGCGCTCAGGCTTGGTGTCCGTTTCTTTTTTTCGAAGATTTGCGTAGGTGTCCCGTTCGTTGCTTCAACTTCCATCGCGCATTGGAAAGGGAGTCGCAGATACTCTCGTAAAAATGGGTTTTATACGCCAAGGAACTTTAGACTGAAATTATGGCAGTAAGGTTGCGCAGTGCTCCGCTCCCGAACATGACGTTAGTTTCGGCAACAATTGACGCTTATTTAGCGCCGGCCTTTTTTCATCAAAATCGATGTAAAATTGGATACAAGGGCAGATTGGCATTTAAGTTATGCGTATGGCATTCGTGTTCGGACACTAACCAGCACCATAGTTAAGCAGCTCCAACGTGGCGCCACGACTTTTCCCAAAGTTTGCATAAGCTTGTATTGAGGGGCAGTTAAGAATCCGAATCGCGGGACATACTTGGTGCTTCATCTTCGGCATCAGTGGGGTCCTAGTCGCGAATAAAATCTCCGTTTTAAGGTCTCCATTTGGCGCTGTGTTGACGCTAATTCTGGGGAGAGGTGATACCCTTCCCTCTGTGCCGGCCTTGGCAGAGGCGCAGACGACCTGGGCATGGTCTGGACTCACCGCCAGCCCCTCCCTCTTTTACGTTATCACAGGCGTGAGCTTCATTTCGGCATCAGTGCCGAGGCTAGACATGAATATCACACTCAGAAGTCGTTTTATCACGACAAATAGTATTTATCGCTGAGTTCGCGCTCCAAAAGACGTGAAAGGGTAGGAGGCAGCCCTGATAAAGTAATAGCGCAGTCGCCCAAAAGTCATGAAATGCGGGTTCGAGCTCCACCTGAGTCGAGACTTTTGCCCTTGAAAGTTCATGAATGAGTAAGAGCGGCCCGATG